TGCTTGTATCTAACGAGATAACTAAACCAGTTTAGTATAATTTATGCACCAGTCGTTACTGATATACCAACGATATTTTTTATTTATATTTTGATGCGCCCAAATTATATATAGTCGAGCAGGTTCTTTCCACTCGAATTATGTTAACAGAGAACACCTCCGGTGTCGATAATGTAACAGAAAATAAACCGACTTGCTTCAGTCAAAGCAATCGGTTGGAGAGTATTGAATAAGAAGAATTTACATAAAAAACGCATCAAGTGCAATTCTAAAGAACGTACCGATTGTTATAACGTAAAATAAAATATTACAGTAGGTAAGAACTGGTATTACTGTGGCTCGCACTTAAGGATAAACTTGTTAGCATTTAAAGCACGGAGTCGCAGGTATGGTTTCTTTAGGAGATTCTTTACGTGGTCTGTAGTAACTCTCTAATATTTTTGTAAACGGAGAGAAATGTATTTTTTACGTAGAAGAACTAAAAACATCATTCCGGTAATCCTTCGTCTTGATTTGATGATTTTTTACTAGTTCCTAGCATTCGCCTCGGAAACACTGTGCAATATGGACGACCCTGCGCTTGATCGCAACTGCATCTGAGAGACTGTTGAGATAATCAATATTCGAATACCCCTTGTCGTAGGTAGTTAAAGCTTCCCGAACTCGACGATCTCTGCCCTCTGCCTCAGCACGTGGCCAGATACAAAAGAGAAAAGCGTACGCAGTTCGAACCCCTTCCCGTATATTTAATTCGGAGCCATTGTCTCGTCGTTCCCGCATGTGTGTAAAAAATTGAAAATGAACCGGTTCGTCGTGAACGCTGCCGCGTGCTGTTGCCTAGCCTCGAGGTCATTAGAAGAGTTGCAATATTATTATCATTATATTGCGCCTCGCCTTCATAAATAAGGATACGTGTAGTAGCTCTGCTTGCGGTCAAATCTCACTCTACTACACGTATCGTTATTTATTCCGGCGAGGCTCATATAATTAGGATTAAACTTCACTTAGGTAAGTTCGTTTAATCTCTCAATTATTCGTTTTTCGTCTCCTTAAAATTAACGTATTACTTCCTGCGCCACTGTGAACCTCAGCTGTTGTTCACAAATCGATGTCAACAATAAGCTAGATCATTGGCGGAGAAAACATATCGTCGTTTATGAGCTTCGTTTTTCAGTTTCTGGCACTTGTAGAAGTAATGAAAGTGTATGATTCTGTAACGTCACATTTTTAGTCAATATTTTCGTATTATCAAACTTAGCTTCTCATTTTGTTTAGTCACAGTACTATTTATACTTGATCAATTAGATAGTATGAATAATACGGGGCAAGCAACCAGTACTTGACTAGGCTAGACCATATAAATAATCTATTAATTCATCGTTATTTGTCACACGCATGCATGAACGTCGCACGACTTGTCCGAGCAGACTTGGCATTCATACTGAAATGATTAAGTCGGGTACCACCATTAGTTATAAATGAGTCAGTTTCCTGAAACGCTCGTTCTCCACAGGCCATTACCCACTTGACGTTGGTCGCTTGTATTTTTTAACCCTTTTTACAATCTTATTAACCTCTTGAAGTCGTACGCATTTGGTTAATGGGGAGAAAAGAGGTGAACTTAATTTACGATTTCCGTTAGGATCTAATTGGTCAATTTAATGGCGCAAACTAGTCGTGACTCGCTGCAGTATGGCCGTACGGCCATTCGGCACCGGTCAACTGTTGCGACGATAATTCCACGAGGGTTTTGGAGGCGTTTAGCGTTTTCGGGACGATGGACGAGGGTGACGTGCCTAGGACATTAAGAAAAGTATAGATACGATCATGCTCCCTTGACGATTCGTGTTTTAGGGACGGAAATGTCTACCTCAAGCGTTCCTGCACCATAGTAGCCAAAACATCGTACAATAAACAAAACTTAAAATGTATATATATAAGTAACGGATTTCTGTCCTATATAAACCTACCTACAAGGTCCATCAGTGGCACATGTATAGATCACTGCTTTGTGAAAGACCTATCCAACAAAATTACTTGTATACCAATAATCCTACAAAGCGATATTACTGACCACTTCTCCACTATTTTACTGATATCTTCAAATGAAAAACATTCTAACATCCCTACCGTTAATAACAACCAGAAATTACAAAATTTTTGTCGACAATTCAAAACTAATATCAAATGTCAAACAAGAATCCTGGGAACAATTATACTCTATAAATAATATAGACAAAGCAACGGGACTGATCATAGAGAAAATAAAAAAACTAATAGATATTAGTACCAATAAAGTAATAATTAGTCACAAAGAGAAAAGTAGAAATGCCTGGATTACCAAAGGATTAATAACATCGGCAATAGAAAAAGAAAGACTATATAATGTAATGAAACTAACGCCAACTACAGAGAATACCGACTGCTACAACCAATATAAAAATAAATTTATAGAGCTTGTAAGGCAAACCAAACGAAAACATTACCTAAATAAATTGAATAATAATTTAAATGATCCTAAGCGGCTTTGGACAAGTATTGATGAGATTACTGGGAAAACAAAAGTTAAAGAGTGTGTCACTGAGTTAAATACAACATCGGGAACAGTATTAAAAAATACTCAACAGATATGCGATGAATTTGTACAATTCTTTACTGACATAGGCGAAAATTTAGCAAGTAATATACAAGCAAATGTACAAAATACTCAGCCTCCAAAAAGAACTTTGAACTCATTTATTTTGGATAATGTCGAGCAATGTGAAGTATACACCACTGTTATGTCCTTAAAAAATCGGAAAAGTCCTGGGTTCGATGGTATTAAAAGCGAGCATTTGAAAATTATAGCCGAGGACATAACAGAACCACTCACTTACCTAATCAACAAATGCTTTGAATCTGGCATATATCCCTCAATTTTAAAAAAAGGTAATATAATACCGATACATAAATCAGGAACAAAAACAGATGTTAACAACTATAGACCAATATCAATAATATCCAGTGTAGCAAAGGTTTTTGAAAAAGTTTTATCTACTAGAATGATTCGATACCTCACAAAATTCAAAATTTTAAGTGAAAATCAATATGGATTTACAGAAGGGAAGGCTACATCGGACGCAATAACTAAAATTGTAAATCAAATAAATCAAAATATTGATAACAGAATCCCTTCAATCTGCATTTTTGTTGATTTAAAGAAAGCTTTCGATACAGTTAATCACAAATTATTATTAGAAGCATTGGAGAGAATTGGTTTCAGAGGAAACGCGTACTCACTGATCGAAAGTTATTTGTCAAATCGCCCACAATCTGTGCAGATATCAGGATCATTTAGTAAAGAAATGTATATTAAGTGTGGTGTCCCACAAGGAACTGTCTTAGGTCCGCTGTTATTCAATATATATTTAAATTATATTTTCCAAATTAATTGTGTTGGCAAAATAACTAGTTTTGCAGATGATACTGCAATATTATATGAAGGCACTGACTGGTCTGATATGCAAAATGTAATTGAAAATGATTTTATCAAAATTATTCAGTGGTTTAACAGTAGAAAATTAAGCATTAACTACTCTAAAACACATTTTTTACCATTTGGATCTTATGCTAGACATCTGCCAAATTACACAAATTTCTCCTTCAATATTAATGATCAAAAAATGCAAATTAATAGAGTGCCCAACATAAAATACCTTGGAGTGGTCTTGGATCCTCACTTACGATGGGACATCCATGTCAATTATATTTTAAAGAAAGTTAGATTTGTATCCTACAAAATTAAATACCTTGGGAATATATTGACAGAAAAATATCTGCGAACATTATACCATGCACTGATTGAGCTTCATCTCACATATGGTATATTAGCATGGGGAGCTGCATGTTCCTCACATATCTATAATTTAGATGTTTTTCAAAAAAGTATTCTAAAAATGATATTTAAAAAACCGAAACTTTATCCCACTGAAAAATTATACGCAGATGTTCGAATGTATGATATAAGACAGCTTTATTTCTTACACAGTATCACTCACTACCATAAATTTGTAAACACCGACCAAAAAATTAAACATAATCATTATACCAGGTACAAAATTCGTGGCACAGTAGTTCCTCAACCGCATAAATCTATAATGCAGCGATCATATCTCTATTTAGCGCCTAAATTTTATGAAATTATACCTAAAGACTTAAAAGATTTACGTTTCGGAAATTGTTTCAAAAGAAATTTAAAAAAGTGGCTACATTCTATATCTAGGACTGAAATTCATAAACTCATAAATACGAACATCAACTAAATACATAATCTACTGTAGCTAATTTTTGTCCTTTTTTGTCATTTGCATTCTACAGTTTCAACTTAAATTATTGGTCCATGTACAGGCGATGCCTTCTATTGGGCCTGTTTTGATTTTATATTTATTTACTCATATTGTTTGTTATCTTTGTACATTGAGTGAATAAAATTTATTCAATATTTAATATTATTATTATTATTATTATTATTATATTATTATACCTATGTTGTTTGAATCGGCTACACAGTGAACATAAAAACTGCAGGATAAGTTTCTGGAGTTACATTAACCACAGTTTTAAGGTTCGATGACGCTGACCTTGACCGTGAACTACCAAGGTCATTTCAAGATCAAGGCAGCTTTCTTAAACGGATCCCCCTATTTTTCACCAGAAATATAAAGGGCAGCAAATGTTATATAGTTCAAAAGTATCTCCATGACCTTGACAATGACCCTCAAGGTCACTCGAAGATCAAACGAATTTTCAACGGAAAACACCTATTTTCGATTCCAGAAATTCAAATTTCGTACAATTTTACGCTCAAGCGTATCCTTGCGAGCGACCTTACGTTCAAATGACCTTGAAGCGCTCCATACACGTTACCACACTACCTGCTTCGTAATGAACGCCGTAAAAAACTTAAAAACTAAAAATACCTATGTACGCTAAAACGACGTAAGCATTTTGAAAAAGGATACATTTCTTGGAAGAAGTCTAAATGTGGAGGTTGAAGTATATCTAAGGCTGAGAGGACCTGCAACAAAAAAAATTGCACGTACTGATCGGACACACTGCTTTTGTAAATAAGTATATGATAGCTGTAAGTATACAGGGTGTCCCAACGGAAATGGAAAGTAGTTGTATCAGCAAGCTGGAAAATGTATCAAAAATCTGTTTTCGTGGCAACGCTGACGTATTACTAGTGCATATTTTAAAATTATTTTATTATATACAGGGCGTTACATAACTGCCTGCCATAGCAAACATATATTTTTTTAAACACAAAACCCGACATTTTATTGCATCTTTGAATAAGGCTTCTAAAAACAAGAACCTTGATATCATATAACATATGGTTTATATTGTAAATTATTTAGATATTCGGTCAAGCGTCTGAAAAAATGGCCAGCTTCGACGGCACACAGCTCCGCCATTTTTGAAGATATTTAGATAAAGAACAAAAATAATGATACAGGGTATCTCAAAACGCTGAATGTACCTTTTCCCAATAATTTCAAGCGAAACACCCTGTATATTTCTACATCGTTTAATAGTTTTTTAGTGAACTTTTTTAACATATCTTTTTGAGTTATTTCTATTAATTTCAAGGAAAACCAAGTACATCTCGTATTTAGTCTTCTATGAAAACAATATTACTTCCTTTGTAGCGCTAAACTCATCTAGAATTTTTGTCTTGCAATTTTTCGAATCGCCATATCTGCACATTGCATTAACAACTAATATTTTAAAATTATCGTGAAGTATGGCCACGTTTACGATTATGCTAATGGACTGTCGTCATAGCTGTGGACGCATTATTTGATAATTTTATATGAAACAAACACATACACGTTATTTTATAACACAATGTGTCCATACGCATGAGCTTGCAATTACAGGTTTACATTCATAATACATCTATAATAATCGTTAAATATCGATGCTGGATATAATGGCACAAAATATCAATTAGAGATTGGATAACAATTCACCAAATTATAAAATAACCCAAGCTGAAAAAATTAACATCAAAACTCTGAGATTATATAGAAAATATATACAGGGTGTCCCAGAAGTCGACGTCAAGCCGAAACCGGGTGATACGCAAAGTCATAGCAGCTATCAGAAAAATATTTAAAAAAATTTTATGTATGTGTTTTGAAAATTATAGGTCTACTACAAATATTAACTTTTTTGGATTTTATTTTTACAATGTAATGATGAATAATGCATCTTCAAACTGGTGTCACAACCTTACTGCCAACTTTTCTCGTTCAGGAAAAATTGCCACTTATTTCCCAACCAAGTATTCCAAAGTAAAACTTTGCTCAACTTTAACTGGCTGTACTGGGAAAAAATGTACTACGAGAGTTTGGCAAGTAACCTTAAAAGTTGGCGCATTTAATAAGAATTCCAAAATGGTATAACACTTAGAAGATTACTCGTTAACTTATGCACAATTTTTATTTGAAGAAAAACTGATGAAAATTTTTCCTAATTAAACAGTGATTATGAAAACGCACAAGGACCCTTAAAGATAACTGTTTGCACAACAGTGGGCGTCAAAATGCTGCTGATGATGATTTACCTTTACAGCAAATGCTCAAACTGTTTTCCTTCAGCCGCAATACACGCTCGACATCTTCTTAAAAAAGATCGGGTTATTAAACGAGCGAATCCACGGTTATTAACAAACTCAGCTGCTTCCAATAGTCTTGCCGTAGCTCAGCTACATTTTAAATCGGCTTGAAATACACTTTTTCTTTTACAGTTCCCCAGTAAAAAAAATCTAACGGATTCAAATCTGGTGACCGGCTGGCCACGGTATTGTACCGCCCTATCCATCTGCCTGGAAAGTTTTGATCGAGATACGCTCTCACTGAGAGTGCATAGTGCGCTGGGCAGCCATCATGCTGAAACCACATGTCCCTGTAAATACTCAGTGGCACGTCCTCCAATAAATTTTCTAAATGATTTTGCAAAAAACCTAAATAAACCTCAGCAGTCAAAGTCTCTGGGAACTCAAACGAACCGATTATTTTACCATTTAAAATTCCTGTCCAATGGTTTATCTTGAAGAGATATTGAGATTTATCTTCTCTCATTAAATGTGGGATTGCTACGTGCCACTCATCTAAGTTATGAGGGTTCATGTACCCATCTTTCTTAAATGTGGTCTCATCTGACCATACAATTTTTTCAAAGAACCGTGGATCTTCCCTGTGTCTTTCTAACATTGTGCGACAAAAAGCAACTCGGGGGCTCATAATCCCGGGGCAGAAGAGCTTGAACACGCTGTACGTGGTATGGATGGAGCACGTCTTTTTGCAAGATTCTATGGGCTGTACTTTTGGGCACACCTGTTTTTAGTTCTATTGCACGCACTGAAGTACTCGGGTCTTTTTCGACAGCTCCTAGCACCACGTCTTCGTAAGGAAGGAAAGATCTTCCCTCACCGTGTGATTGGTTTGGTAGTTGGCCCTCCGAGAACAGTAAGCGGTGCACATTTGTGAACACTCGATGATCTGGATGACGAGCTGCATTCTGGTACCTCTCACAGTAAAGTCTCGCTGCAGCGCTAGCGTTGCATCTGCATTCCCCATAAATGAGGTGCATGTTAGCATATTCTTGTACGGTGTACACGGACATAGCGGCACTCCACAATCACACTATCAAAGATAGTCTAAGGAAAGCAAATGTTGTTTTGATGAGCAATTAAACAGTCCAAATCCAAATCACAAGCGATCAACAGTCCAGTTCACGAATCCAAAATTAGTAACAGTACGAAATCAACAAGCACGAACATGTAAAGATGCGCAGTAAATGAAGGAGTACTGATCGGTATCAAAGTGTGCAATAGCAAGTAAGTGATGTGCTTCACCCGTACCACATACAGCGTGTTCAACCTCTCCTGCCCCGGGATTATGAGCCCCGAGTTGCTTTTTGTCGCACAACGTTAGAAAGACACAGGAAAGATTCACAGTTCTTTAAAAAAATTTTATGGTCGGATAAGACCACATTTAAGAAAGATGGGTACATGAACCCGCATAACTTACACGAGTGGCACGTAGCAAACCCACATTTAATGAGAAAAGATAAATCTCAATATCGCTTCAAGATAAACTATTGGACAGGAATTTTAAATGGTAAAATAATCGGTCCGTTTGAGTTCCCAGAGACTTTGACTGCTGAAGTTTATTTGGATTTTTTGAAAAATCATGTACAAAATTTATTGGTGGACGTGCCACTGAGTTTTTACAGGGACATGTGGTTTCAGCATGATGGCTGCCCAGCGCACTATGCACTCTCAGTGAGAGAGTATCTCGATCAAAACTTTCCACGCAGATGGATAAGGCGGTCTGGTATAATACCGTGGCCAGTCCGATCACCTGATTTGAATCCTTTAGATTTTTTTACTGGGGAACTGTAAAAGAAAAAGTGTATTTCAAGCCGATTCAAAATGTAGCTGAGCTACGGCAAAGACTATTGGAAGCAGCTGAGTTTGTTAATAACCGTGGATAACAGTTTGAGCATTTGCTGTAAAGGTAAATCATCATCAGCAGCATTTTGACGCCCATTGTTGTGCAAACAGTTATCCTTAAGGGTCCTTGTGCGTTTTCATAATCGCTGTTTTATTAGGAAATTTTGAAAAATTTTCATCAGTTTTTCTTCAAATAAAAATTGTGCATAAGTTAACGAGTAATCTTCTAATTGTTATACCATTTTGGAATCCTTATTAAATGCGCCAACTTTTAAGGTTACTTGCCAAACTCTCGTAGTACATTTTTTCCAGTACAGCCAGTTAAAGTTGAGCAAAGTTTTACTTTGGAATACTTGGTTGGGAAATAAGTGGCAATTTTTCCTGAGCGAGAAAAGTTGACAGTAAGGTTGAGACACCAGTTTGAAGATGCATTATTCATCATTACATTGTAAAAATAAAATCCAAAAAAAAATTAATATGTGTAGTAAGAGGAGTTGACAGACTGCTGTAGGGTGTGAAATTTCTATATTTTTTTCAAAGACCTATAATTTTTAAAACACATACATAAATTTTTTTAAATATTTTTCTGATAGCTGTTATGACTTTGCCTATCACCCGGTTTCGGCTTGACGTCGACTTCTGGGACACCCTGTATATAAAAAAATTGAAATCGGAAATTGGAGATAAATATGGATTTGAAAATTTGGAACATAATTGGAAAATTCGGAGATTTAGAAAGTAGTTTGATATGGACATTTTGAAAAACATTTGGAAATTTTGAAAACATTTTGGAAATTTTTTTGAAAACGTGATACAATTTGGATATTTCGGGAATTTTGCAATTCGGAAATAAATTTGGGATATAAAAATTGGGAAAAAAATTTGGGAATTTTGGAACAAAATTTAAAATTCAAATTCGAAAAAAAATCGGAAATTTTATGATTTAGAAATTTTGAAAAGAGATACGAATAAGCAAATTTAGATTTGTCGTCAAATATGAAATATACTAAAAATCGAGATTCTTGATTATGAGTACTTTTGTTGTCGTTTTTTTGAGACATTATATATAGTTCAAAAGAACAAAAACACGCTTTAATAGCAAATTGAACTAAAAAGTAGGAAATAATTTTCGAGTATAGAAGAGTTTGTGTTCCTGCAATAGAAACTCTATGACTAATTAACTTGAAATAAGATCAACATAAAAATTAAAATAAAAACAAAAAATTTAATTATAGTAAAAAGCATGGGTGCAATTAACTATATTTTCATAATCACTCCAATTGTGTAAATGGCCACTAAAAAAATAATTCTAACATCATTAAACACTCCACGTTTTTTACTACTACTGGTTTTTTTAATATCTTAGTTTTTTCAATTAATTGGCCATAATTGATTACACTGATCAACAGCCAAAAAATATCCTAAATAAAATCAACAAAATATTACTATTTTTAATGTGCTAAAACCGGAATGAAACTTATTTTTTCAATATTGGTTCAAGTTTTAGAGATACGGTAATTATATGTGTTCCTGCTGTGACAGTGTTAATATACTGTAATTCACAAGAATGCACGTGCTACATTTTTATATTCGGCAAGGAAAGATGATGTAATCGGCATGATTGTGCTACGTTATACATACGTGTACATTATATTGTTTTATATTAGCCATTTTTTCCTCAGTTGGCTGACAGCGTTCATGCAAGATGTCTCGAAAGTGTGTAAACAATCCAGATCAGTTTTGTTTCGTGTGTGGTGATGTGACTTTTGCGTCTCAGAGACACGGTCTATTACTCCACTAATAACAAAGGCATATCGGCTTTATTTCGGTTGTAAACTAGGTGATCAAGACAAACAGTGGGCACCCCACATCTGCTGTAATACATATGCTCCAAGTCTGAGAAGCTGGTTAACTGGCAAAAAACGGTCTATGCGCTTTGCTGTCCCAATGGATTGGAGAGAGCCTACAAATCATATTAATGATTGTTACTTTTGCATGGTACCTTGTGTTGGACAAGCCACAGGTATGTCCAAGAAAAAAAAATCGGTAATTAACTACCCAAACATACCATCTGCGATGAGACCTGTGCCTCACAGTGACGAAAATCCTATTCCAAAACCCCTAGAATCCTTCACTTGCGAATCAGAAAACGAATCAGATCATGGCGATCGAGTGATTCGTCAGGAAGAAGATATGCCATCAACGTCAAGAGATCCTGATTTTATACCGAGCACGTCATGCCACCAACCGCACAAAATAACACAGTCAGAATTAAATGATCTTGTAAGAGATTTAGAACATCCAAAATGTAAGGCAGAGTTACTTGGATCAAGACTGCAGCAGTGGAACTTGTTAGAAGACGATGTTTCGGTATGTGTTTTTCGTAAACGCCACAAAGACTTAGAACCATTTTTCAATATGGAGAATAACTTGGTTTTCTGCAGTAACATTAACGGCTTACTGACGGCTTTAAATATAAACTATAACCCAGAGGAATGGAGATTGTTTATAGACAGTTCAACATTGAGTTTAAAGGCAGTGTTATTGCATAATGCAAATATTTTACCATCTCTTCCTGTAGGGTATGCAGTTCACATGAAGGAATCATATGATAATATGAAGTACCTATTGATATGCATAAAATACGATGAGCACCAATGGCATATTTGTGGCGATTTGAAAGTTGTTGCACTTTTACTTGGGCTGCAGCTAGGCTACACAAAGTTTTGCTGTTTTTTGTGTGAATGGGACAGTCGGGCAAAGGCACTTCATTACACCAGACAAAACTGGCCTTTTCGTCAATTCCTAGAGCCAGGTCAAAAAAATGTACAGCATATGCCATTAGTAGATTCGAAAAAAAATTTATTACCACCACTGCATATCAAGTTGGGCCTAATGAAAAACTTTGTCAAGGCATTAGACAGAGATGGGTCAGCTTTTCAATACCTGCGTCAGAAATTTCCAAGACTAAGTGAGGCAAAGGTTAAAGAAGGTATTTTTGTTGGGCCACAGATTCGAAATATTTTGAAAGATACACAGTTTGAAAACACTTTAACAGGTATTGAAAAAACTGCTTGGAATGATTTCCGTCTGGTGGTCACTAATTTCTTGGGAAATAGAAAAGCTGACAACTATAAAACCCTTGTCAAAAATATGCTGTCATCGTATCAAAAGATGGGCTGTAATATGTCTCTTAAGATACATTTCCTACACTCACACCTGGACTTTTTTCCTGACAATTGCGGAGCCGTAAGTGATGAGCACGGCGAACGTTTTCATCAGGATATTTCAACAATGGAAAAAAGGTACCAGGGAAAGTGGAATCCTTCCATGCTTGCAGACTACTGTTGGACTCTTGGTAGAGATGCTCCAGAAACGATCCATAAAAGAACAGCAAAATGACAGCGCATATAGTGATTCTTATAAGTATATGAATCTTGTTACTTTTTTTAATATATCCTTAAAAATAAAAAGTTTTTTTTCTAAACCGCAACTAATTTTTTTATTTCATTATGATTTTTTGATTCAGCGCCCCAAAATTAACAAAGAAGTGCACTTTTCCCACAAGATACAATTAAAAAACTAAAATTTGTTGTCCAGTGTTACTGAACTTTCTATTGAAGTAACGCAAACTCTCATATACCTGAAAATTACATTATACTTCTTACTTCCATTTGATATTAATGCGTGTTTTTTAATTTATTCAATCTATAATTTATTTTGACCCTGAAGCTTTGCACCTGGACCCGTAGGTTTTCATAGTGTCCAGCATTCCGAACATTTCACATACCTCGAAAGACAATTACAACTATGATCAGTTGCTTGATTTGAGCTATTAGTCTGATTCAATATCAAATTATAACCGTAATCATTATAAATAAACTTACATTTTCGTGTTTGAAGAAGCAGAGCATCTTCAACTCCCTAAATACCCGTTTCGAGGATACCAACGATTGAAATACGTTCGGTAACTTTTTGAGTGCCACTCGCCTGCCGTCTCTCGGATCCGTGACGGCCCTGAAAAGAAGAAACTAGGTTAGAGCTATGCACCAAATAAAATAAAAGAATAGTCAGGGTGGCCCATAAGTCCTTTGATCGATTCAACATTTCATTCGCAAAGTTTAGTCACTGAATAGCGTCATTATCTTTTAATTCCTGCACTAACTGAATTTTGTAAGCGTGCAGACGTAAATCTTTCCTTAAAATCAGCTGTAAAGATGTTCTGGGCACGTTTAGTGCACTGGAACGCTTACGAGTAGACTGGGTAGGATTTTGATGAACAGACTGTGCCACAATGTTGATGTTTTCTTCAATACGAGTTGTCCTTGGTCGACCCCACCGCTGTTTATCTAACGTCGAACCAGTCTCTTCGAACTTAGCAACCCAGTTCTTAATCTTTTGAGCTGTTGGAAACTTTGTAAAATTGTGAAAATTGTGGTAGTCTCGATATTTACGCCGCGCAATGGTTGCCGAATCATTATTTTGATAAAACGCGCGCACACAAAAAGCACGATCCGCTCCAGTGAAACACTCCATGGCGACTGAATTCCCAGACACTGATGATACTGCCCCCACCTCGCCCGCGCCGCTCACGCTCACCCGTTAAATTTTATTCAAATTTGAAATTTCACAGGACTTATGGACCATCCTGTATTTGAGCCAGATATGTTTGTACCCTAATCAAAAGCAGCAATAGAAGAAATAAGATTTTGTATAATCAAATCCTACAATTATGGTGACAGCAGTTTTTTTTTGACAATTTTTAATTTTCGCTTCTTATACTTGAAGAACTATCAAGTCGGCGAAAAAATGTAAAGCGCCTTTTTCGTCTATTGTCGACAACAACAGTGAGTTTTATCCTCTAAAAAAAGGAGAGTAGCTTTAATACGTTTAGGTTGTTAGTTTAGCCATTAAAACTTTGTCAGCGTTAAGGATTAACGTTGAGTAATCCCCTTTTATAAACAGTTTAACGTCAAGCGCATGACTTAAGTTCTGAGTTAGAACAACGCTACGGCAGTGCTGCGGTTACTGAGTTCATTAAGCGACCTTAAAGGTGAATAAGCTTAAAACCCCGTATGATGAAAGCACTACTTCACGTCCACCATCTTCAATTTCACATTTTCAACTGGCGAATCTGCTCTTAAGCATCTATTTAGACATCCCTTGATGTAAACTTTCGCAAAAAGACGCAACAAGAAGAACATCGATCGCTTTAGAACAGATGGAGTCGGATGCCGTGACTTAGAAACCCTCGATATCCGCAACTTTCCAGTTATCTCTTCCCACAATTCTTATCCGATTCTGCTCCCTCTTAACTGTGGTTAACATCCGAGAGACAGTAAAATAAAGAAAAACGCGGAACATCATCCGCAGTCATAAAATGGCGCGCCCGAGGAGGCGACGATTTCCTCACCAACGACGCGACGTTTTTTAATCTAATCGACCGAAGATGCAGCTTCGACTGTGTAGAGGTGACGCATAAATTTCAGTTCGTTTGTTCTTTGCTAGAACAGGCTATAAAATGTGTAAAAATTAATTTTCACCATCATTTCGTTGTATCGTTTCTCTCGTCTGCAACCAAAAATATTCTGTTAACGGGGCTCCTACAATCACGAGCACCATCCACTGAGGTAACGGGGGGGTGAAGAGGAAACGAGGGTGGGCTGGCCCTAGACGATCGTCGGCGTTACTTTAAAAGATGAAAGGATGACTGCGGCTGCATACCACGGTAAATTTTTATAATAACAGAGTCGGATTTCTATTAGCGATCCAGCCTGTAAATCGTTTCCTATTTTGGTACTCAGCAAGTGATCATTTAGTATTTTTCTCCCCTTGTTACTGTTCGTCGATACTGTGTTGTTGAATTGTTGTGCTCTGTTCTTGTAGGTGTGATTGTTCTTGAGTGCCTTTTTTATCCATGTTGATAATGGACAATAAAAGGTCATATGCGACCATTTTAATTACGAATGCAGTGAGTTTAATTCATGATGAGGTCAACTCTATAATCGCAAAATACATTGGGGAGTCAGCGAATAAATTATTGCAAGAAGAGGTCATACCATGGAAGATGTGCTGCAGCTGTAGTGAGCCACAATACCGAGCGGCCTGTCTATGTGGTCCATGGTCCACATACATTTGCGTTCTAAGCTTAGTCCAACCTCGCTTATCGCTAAGATGGAACAAAGCCTCAAACGCAAGAATCTTGAAAAAAACTCAGGCCAGAAAAAGCTGATACAAAAATAAGTAACAATTACCAAATTATCTGAATACGTCCTTTCTTAGTCCGTACATTGCGCCGCAACGCTTGGGTTGGCAGCACGAAACAGTAGACAAAATTCGTCCAAAATACGATTTGTAGAGGTTTGCGCGCTTCGAAATTGACGCTTTATTTTTGGATATTTTTGGATGAAATTTTCACAGAGTGCTGAAAACAAAATCCTACAGCGTGCTATAGAGCCACTTTTTCATTTTTTTCACTAGGTTCTTTTTAAAAAAATCGCGAAGTTCAACAGAAAAAGTGCGCACTTCAACCCATCATAAAACTTGTGCAAAAACAAAATTTCAAAAAGTGCTCCTGTAGCACCCTGTGCAATTATCTTCTCAACATACTGTATGAATTTCATTCAAAAATATTGAAAAATGGAGTGTCAGTTTCGAAGCAGATCAACCCTTGCAAATGGCTTGAAACTCGCTGCGTCGGAGCCGCCTTAAGCAGAAAAATACGGGCATATTGCCCAGGTGGAATATTACTAAGGTTACTATACTTCAAAATAAATAAACGTCAACCGACAGTAAAGTAAGTAAGCGAACTTTTGTTTCCAAAGGCAACTTGAATTTTGTGCCTAAACTTTTAGGACACACGTTTTAGCTAACAATTTCGTTATTGCTACTTTGTCACTCTAGATCTAGATCGTCAAAGCTGTTAGTTCGGATTTTATATTTGACAACAAGGCATAAAGCTTGCTTTAGGAAAATACCTATTCTAAAACCGCGCGAAAAAATAGCCGTTGCCGCGTGTTGACGTTTGACTATGACAGTTTCCTCGCTCATCCGCTGTTAGGCTTCAACAGTGAAAAGTATTACGTATCACAACGTCGTAAATCATGTTATTAGCGTCTTATTTTTCTGTAGTTATGGTCAGATTTTTGTGAAGGGGCCATTTTTTTAGACCTTGTTGAACAGTGTTCGAATTTTTTCAGTTCAACTTCTTGGCTTTTATCTCTACAAAATCATAGGTTTCGCGAGTTTCAAATTTGGTGATGAACCCCTTTTGTTCAATTTTCAACTAGCCCCATCGTGTTGAAATCGGCTCAGCAGAGTTTTTTTACGGAAACCTTTGAGTACCGCTTTATTTTTAGAGATGCAGCAAAAATTGTCAAGCAACAAAGATTCAGATTATCGAATTTAAAGATCAGGTATATTTACTGTAAGGTCAATATACAGGGTGTCCGCAAAGTTGGGGTTTTCCTTTTCAGAAACAACTACCCTTGAAATAACAAAGGTAACGTGTAGTGAAACGAGGGCGACCAAGTAAAAAAAATAAAGGAAAAAGTACTCACTCTTCAGTTGACGAGAAGGGCTAAGTACGTCTCTGCCCGAAATCATACCGCTCCAACAGAAAATGAAATCAGCTGATGCGCTACCGAGCAGACGCAGAAACCACATTGATTGTCTTACACTCAATGGCACATCTTCTAACAAGGAAGACAAAATGTTGCGTAAAAAGTCTAGGTATTGCATCCCGTCAGTAGTAGAGCTAAGAGAGTTCCACAGCGGAAGTGAGATAAAACAGCCGATGGACGGTTGCAGGTTCGCGTTATCAGCGCGACGACGTTCCCATGCGGATGTGTGTCCGATAAGGTGAGGTGTAGTGTATACAGGGAGAGTCAAGAAGGTTGTATACAGGGCGAGTCAAAAGATTGGGAGCGTTAAAAAAAAAAGACCGTCCATCGGCTGTTTTATCTCACTTCCGCTGTGGAACTCTCTTAGCTCTACTACTCCCGTCCAATCGATTTGGGAGAATAAATGGTCCAATGAGCATACCGTTCACCATGCCAGCCCAAACATTCACCGAAAATGTTTGTTGAAAATGTGCCCGACGGACAGCGTGCGGATTTTCTACTGACCAAACATGAGTGTTGCGAAAGCTATTCACCCCATTACGCGTGAACGCAGATTCGTCTGTCACCAATATGCACTTCAAAATGTCCGGATTATTGTCATGTTGATGCAACAACCACTCACAAAACCGCACTCTTGCTGGAAAATCGTCAGGTTGAAGGGCTTGTACACGTTGGACGCGAAACGGATACAGCCCCTCTTCACGCAGCGTTTGCCACACTTTAGTTTTTGATGCTTGCACTTCTCTAGTCACGTCTCTAGTGCTCGTTTACCTCTACACGCGTGACCGTAACCGTCGGTTGAAGGTTGCATACTGACCTGACACACTGACCCCGACACAGTTCTGTCGTCGGGTTGAGCCAGTGACCTTGTACCAGTCGGTGATGTCGCGGCTACAGGACGGTATTCAGATATTTTTGATGTTGCAGAGCCCTTTATCTCGGTTCCCTTAAGACATTGGTGTATATGGTACTAAGAAAAATTGCTTATGTTTTCAAGATCTACACGTCGGCGTCGTGTAAAGGAAAACCCCAACTTTGCGGCAACCGTGTATAGGAATTGCGCATCCTAGTGGCCATTCCAGAAACTAGAAAATATTTACCAGCTTTTTCTCTTCTATCGTTATGATTATACAGCACCACAATGTTTAGCTTGACCTTTTTCAGAGCGTTACCTAAGAACTGAATGGTCTACAACGTCCTCATCGAAAAGCTCGAACAACAGTAGCTTTGAAGTTCCGAATTGAAAATAAAACAGCTCAATCAAGTATTCAAGTTTTCGATATTTTACAAGCTATCCGTTATAGAAAGCCTGATGTTTTATCATCGTACATCTCAACGAATCCTCTACCTCGGTGAACAACAGCGGACGACTATAAATATCTCAATAACGTATGCT